TTATCTTCCAAACAATGTTGATAAGAAAATTTGGATGCTGCTTGTTGCAAGCTGTCATGACGTCATCATCTTGTAAAGGTACATACGTCACTAATTCTGGGTATTTATTACGAAAATGGTTAAATGTTTTCAATCTGTCTTTTTTCCATTTTCCATAACACTGCAATGTTACAAAAAACTGCTGTAATTGTTTTTCTTCTTGCACATATTCCAAAAAATGTTTAAAACATGAAGATACTTCTTCATTTTCAAACCGACTTCCAGATAAATGATTCGAGGGTTGTCTTCACAAGCATCTCCTGTTTTTGCTGCAAATGAAACAAAAAAGCAGCTGTAGATTTTACATGTATAAAAGTAAAATTAAAAAAAGGTACGCATAGCATACACATGGGTAATCTGAATTAATGAATAGATGGCAATGTCGTGAAATGAATTGATGAAAACGGTCTAAATAATATTATACGTTGTTTTCGCTACTTTCTGAGTATCTTTATGGAATAGAAGTAGATTGCCAACGATTCAGTTGTGATTGCAATTAACTCATATTTAATCTTGAATGTAAAGCCTTCTCTAAAAGCAAGTATTTCATTTTATTCATTAGCCACAGCATGACTCGTATATAGCTATAATGTCTTTAAATTTCATTGTCATGTTCAACCTTTTTTAAAAATCCACACTTACTGTGACATTATTAGTAATTATAGAAACTTGAAAGAAAAATCCTCCTTTGATTAACTTTCTTTACTCTTTAAACTATAAACTCATTAAAACAGAGGGACATGGTTGAGGATTACACGTACAAAAAGAGACAATTTTCATTTGTCGAAAATGACCAAGCTCCAAGCCACGCTATTTCAAACATAGAAGTCAAATTATCTCGACAAGATAATTTCTGATTATCATTTTACAGTCAAACCGGATGTTCCTCTCAATTGAAGTAAAGCAATCGCTATTGAAATATTGAAAGGCAATTTACGGAGAAAGTTCGTTCGAAAGTTCAACAAAGTTTGCACATCCCTTTAGCAAATACTGAGATGGTTTGTATACTCTACCATATATATGGTAAAAAGTCAGGTACTTGAAAAACAAGACCAGTTACGTTATAAAAAATAGAGACACAAGTCAGTTGACAAACTTTATAGATACCAATTTCATTCATTGTTGTGATATAATCTCAGACCAGAGCAAACAACTCAGTTGTATATTAACATGGAAGTCAGATGATCTTTTGAGACTAAATTATCAGTCTTTCATTTGTTTGCATAAACAAATTTGAAACTATCAACTGCCATAAATGACCTTTAAACAAAAAAACCATAAACAACATTTAAACAAAAAAGCATTGTATAAAAAACTTCAATTGTGAGTTTGATTTATCATCAATTTAATTTGAGTGTAAATATTAGGCAACCTTTACTGTTACAAAAAATTGCTAATCAATTTAGTTTGGTCACCTTGAAAAAAATGAATTTTCCTTCCTAGTTACAAATCAATTTTAACACTTTTTCAATTAAACCAATTTTCATAATTTTCATAAATTCATATTACTTCATACAGTTGATACAGCAATTTTTCAGTATCAATAAATATATTTTTCCAATATATCACAGCATCCAGAGTACATCCCAAACAATGTAAATTGCTCTAATGAGCGGTAATGAGAATAATTGTGAAATTCTCATGCAAACAAAAGAACAACTAAACAAGAATATTATAATTGCTTCACTTGAATGGAATGATGTTTTATAAAGTTGTACAATGTACTTAACAGAAGCACCAGATTTATTAGCAATCTCTAAGATAAATTTTTAACAGCTGATTCATATCACCTCATTTATGCCTCATTGTTCACACATACAGGTTTATAAAATAACAACAATAAAATGCCTGCAATGGTTGGTTAATGGCTGAGTTTGCAATTTGCTTGTGCAAACCGATATGAGCTCAACCACTGGAGCTGAATGAATGAAATGAACTAAAGAGAATTTACAAATCAATCATCAATACATGCTATAAGAAAAATTAAACCTTTGTTTAAATTTATCTGTTTTGCATGATTGGTATTTTATAGAAAAAATAAAAGATGATTTTTGTGTTTGCACTTGATTATACAACCAAGGAGAAATTTGTAAGAACTCTCAAGAAGGTGGAAATCACTGATCTGTTCTCAATTTCTTCTATACGTCTCCTCGGTTTGCATAAGACTGTGCAATACTGGTAAACATCTATTATTTGTTGAATAACAAACACTCAGAGACTTGACTCTGCCAGTCTAGCTTGTCTTTTATACTGTATTTACCTGACTGACTTCGACTATCTTGCTGAGTGACCTCTTCTACTGAGAATTCATTTGAAATTCAATTCCACGACAAGCCCCTCGTATTTGATGTTTTCTAATACATTTAACCCCATCATCTTTCTCAACTTGGATTATTATATCATGAATATACAAGCCTGTAAACTTTTCTAGACGTTCGATATCGATATGGCCACCATCATGCAGTTTGCCATGAATATCTTTTCCATCTAACATAGCCTTTTTGTCGTGCGGTAAGTTTTCAGTCAACTTGTCAAGAGTCTGGAGTAAATGTACAGTTGAAAACGACTGCTTGTCCTCGTTTAGCTCGGCTTCCAATTCAGATATTTCTGAGCGTAATTTATCAATTTCTGCTCGATACCATGATTCGGTGCGGTTGAAGTTTGAACACAAGTAGTCATCCCATCGATCGCGTTTCAGTTTAGTTTTTACACGCAAGTGAGTGGTAGAAAGACTTGAAGACACAAATTCGTCTTCCATTTTCCATGAGAACAACAAAATCAGTGAACATTACAAGTGAGTTCGCGCCAAATGGCTAAAATAAGCATGTCCCGTTTTATCCATAAGTACTGCCTGTTGCCCAAAATGTTGCGCAAAGAAAATACAGTATCATCAATAAGCACGACAACGTCAAATGGTCAAAGATCAATTTCATCGTTCAAAATTTCGAATTGAATAGTTTATATCTTTGAATCATGCTAAACACGGGGTAAGTACGAGAAGATTGCTCTAATTTGCGGCATTTCTGTCAAAGCAGAATGTTGGAAGGTTGATTGTGAAGAACAATCATTTGCTTATTTTTGAATGTCATGTCAACTGGCTTTTTTACCTGATGAATTTCTGTATGACTAGTATTTTAGACAGTTTTATTGATTTTTATTTAAATGATCGCATTAAGAATCCTTCCCGTTTTTGGTCTGAACGAAAGGCAAAGAAACCTTTATTTATGCACTCTGATGATAAAATGTAATAGTTTTTAATCATACATGTATTATTTTCTCATTGGATTTTCTGTTTTGTGATCATTCATTATTCAAGTATCTTAGGTTTGCATAATAAACCAGTGCAAACATGAAAAATATCTTTCATTTCTATTACTAAATAACGATAATGCATAAACAAATGTTTGAATTTGTCCTCTTACATATATGTATTGATGATTGATTTGCAAATTGTCTTTCAGGAATTTAATTGATTTAGCTCAGATTGGTTTGCACAGGCTAATACAAAGTAAACTCGACTTTAGACCAATCAATGCTAGCATTTCATTGTCTAGACTCTTTTCTCTTGTTTTCTAGAAAACTTGCTGGAAAAACAATTTTTATTAGTGGAGCAAGTCGTGGTATTGGTAAAGCTATAGCTTTAAAGGCAGCACAGGATTGAGCAAATATTGTCATTGCTGCTAAAACAGCTGAGCCGCATCCAAAGCTCCCAGGAACAATTTACACAGCTGCTGAAGAAGGTCAGTTTTTGATGTCTGTTTTGATGTACACAGTCAGCAATGTTAGATGTTTAATTCTTGCAAAAGAAATTTGTTTCAATAGAATAAAAGATTTTCTTGTAGAAATGCATATTGTAAAGAATTATGTATCACTTTTGGATTAAGGAATTTCCAGATATGTATAGAATAGTGAGGGAAAGTTTTATTGCCAATTTGGCGACAGTGCTAAATATTTTTTCCTTTTAATAGTAATTGCCTGTAAGGATTCTTTCTCTTTTAATGAAGATATTGTTTACAATGACATAATCTAGTAATTTGCTATCTTAAAATGTTACTCTACAGTCTACCAACATTCTGGTTTACAAAACAGCTGAAATTTTCAACTCAAGTTTCCTTTTCTACAGTTTTGACTGCACACATTTTGGAAGTTCTTTTTAGGAAATCTGTTTGTTAATGTCTCCAAGTTCTTTCAAAAGAAGATTTGTTAATATGTATTTCCATGTTCTATCAAAAGAAAATTTGTCTATATCTTCATGTTCTTTTGTTGTCTCCTAGATTGTCCTCATCTTTTCAAACCACTGTATTGCAAATGTTAGGTAAATGATTTTTATTCTTTTTCAGTTCCTTGAACCTTTTTCCTCACTCTCTAAAATCTTAATAACGTATTTTGACCTACACCACCCAAATACGAATACTACAAAATAACTCGCCATGTTTTATTTAGATGTTTCATGTATGTTTTTACTACTTCCGTTTCCTGCAAACCAACTTTCAAAGATCTTTTTACCATTTTTCATAACCATTGGTTATACAGTCTAAAGATGAATAATGAGGTTAAGCGACTCGCGTGATCAATTGTTTGATGTAAATCGTTAAAATGTGCCTATTAGTTCAACATTTGTAGCTATTGCTCAAAGGGGAGTTAAAAAAGTAATTCTAACCAAAATTCTGAGAAGGTACAAACGGCTATATTAGTTAAGGAATTGGCTCTAGAATAAGGAATTGTATCTCAAAACATAATGGCGAGAGTCTCGTGTGTGTATCTTATTTATGTATTTAGTAATGTTTATTTTTTTCTCAGATACGGCCTAATGAATGGTGTCAAAACCAGAGGAACATTTTTATGGTAAAAATCTTTGTTCTATTAAGTACCCAAATAGCCAAACCTATCCTACTTGGAATTGCTGACTACGTATGGTGTTTTTATTCATCTCATTTCTTTACGATGCTTAATTTATGTAGCTCTCAAGCGTGTATTCCATATCTGAAAGTGGCCAAGAACCCTCATATTTTAAACATCAGTCCGCCATTAAACATGAAACCTCTTTGGTTTAAAGGTAGGCCATCGTAGGTAGGCCATCGTAATTCATTTCAAGTAGGTCCACGTACTTAGCTGTTAAGTCCGAAGGCCCCTCTTACACGTTATGTGTCGTACATATGTAGCTATAAGGTAGTCAACCAGCTCTGTTTTCCAGCTTTTTCAGTTAGTTCAAAACACTTTTATTCACTATGAATATTCTGTATTTTTAGTGGACATTAATTGAATCAAAAGTATTAACAATGCAGTTTTTAAAATTAGTGGTGCTCATATTTATGTACTTAGCTACGTGCCCTGCGAACTATTCGAGAAAAGTCAGTCACTTTTGCCAGTGAATTAAAACCGATTTTTATGTTCTGGTATTTTGATAGCATACACGATCGCTAAATATGGTATGTCCATGTGTGTTCTTGGTATGGCTATGTGTGTTCTTGGTATGGCTGAAGAATTTAAAGATGATGGTGTAGCAGTGAACGCTCTTTGGCCAAAAACAGGTCAGTTACGTGTTACAGTGTCATATAGCTAGGGGTTCATTTTAACATTGTGCTACAGGAGGTATGGCATGCATCATATAGTAGCGATCTAAATATATTTTTTTTCATTTTTCTGTCACTTGAACGACTTTATAATCTTTTTAAGGAATTATTTGGTTGAGTTCTTTTATGTATTACTGTATGTAAACATATACGTGTGCTTACTGTGCTTCCTCATTCGTGCATTTTAACATTAGTTTCCTCATCCATAGACAACTGCCCTAGAGGCTTACTTTGTGTTTCCTCTTCTTTATATAAACGCCCTCACTCACAGGACTTGACCTATCGAGGACAGCAGCAATGGAGATGCTTGCTGGTGGAGATGCTCTACAACAATGTCGTAATACAGACATCATGAGTGATGCGGCTTATGTTATTAACTACTGAACAGTAAATCAAGGACTGGTGAATTTCTTATTGATGAGGATGTTTTACGTGAATTGCTGTATGCCATCATCACTGTTTACAAATCTCCACGGACCACCATATGAAGCATGTACACAATGCGTACCTATTTTGAATTGCTGTTATGCGATCATCACTGTTTACAAATCTCCACCGAGCACTATATGAAGCATGTACACAATGCGTACCTATTTTGAATTGCTGTATGCCGCCATCACTGTTTTCAAATCTCCACGGACCACCATATGAAGCATGTACACAATGCGTACTTATTTTGAATTGCTGTATGCTACCACCACTGTTTACAAATCTCCACGGACCACCATATCAAGCATGTACAAAATGCGTACCTATTTTGAATTGCTGTATGCCACCATTACTGTTTACAAATCTCCACCGAGCACTATATGAATCATGTACACAATGTGCACCTATTTTGAATTGCTGTATCCCACCATCACTGTTTACAGATCTCCACGGACCACTATATGAAGCATGTACACAATGCGTACCTATTTTTAATTGCTGTATGCCACCATCACTGTTTTCAAATCTCCACCGAACACCATATAAAGCATGTACACAATCCGTACCTATTTTGAATTGCTGTATGCCAACATCACTGTTTTCAAATCTCCACCGAACACCATATAAAGCATGTACACAATGCGTACCTATTTTGAATTGCTGTATGCCACCATCACTGTTTTCAAATCTCCACCGAACACCATATAAAGCATGTACACAATGCGTACCTATTTTGAATTGCTGTATGCCAACATCACTGCTTACAAATCTCCACGGATCACCATATGAAGCAAAAGTTGTTTGCTCAATTGGCGTTTAGTCAGTACGAAAACATCCTGGAAAACTGTTGCCTCGTTTAAATGTTTTCTTGCAGCTGTTTTTTCATATCTTTTACGCCCGATCATCCCATTACCTTATTTTTAAGATTGGAATGATATTACTCAGAGTTATTTTAGATATTTAAATTTTCCCATTATAGGACCATTTAAAATTTTAGAAGATAAAGGATTACAGTATGAAAGACATGCATTACTTATATTGTCTTGCAATTTAGTGTATGCAGTATGGAGCTATAAATTTGACATTAAAACATGAAAATCCAGCATTCACCTTAAATTTTTGAAAACTTGATTGCCTTCATTGACCTTTTATAAGAGCATACTTTTGATAGTGTAATTACATATAAGTGCACCTCTACATAATAAATAAATTAAACTCTGGACTCACTTTACTGTGAAACTTAGTATTGTATGTATATCTAATAACATTACTTATTGCTCTTATTGGTTAGATAACGCACTCGACTAGTACTGGCAGCCATCATGCCAATTGACAACTTACATCCAACATCAATCTACATTGATTGCTGGGGATTAAGACCAAATAATACAAAACACGCATCCTACGAAGGGTTAAGAAGCCACATGCATTGTTCAAACTGCAGAAAGAAGAAAGTCACCTAAAGAACAGCATCCCAATAAATATTTTCAGTAGTTACTGACAGAAACATTTGCTTTAAAGGCTTTCATAATTACGAGTTCACCTTTTGATGTTCATTGCATTAACAAAATTGTTAGGTAAAACGCCAGATCCCAACCTTTGGCATAAAGAACTAATGGAAAATCGCTCCCCAAATATTCAAAATGATAAATTAAACTGCGAGGGAGGGCTCTTCAGGCAATTTTTTCTGTCACCCATCTTATAAAGTTAACTACCTTTCCCTGTCAGCTGGAGACAAGATTCAGGAGCAAATTGTCTAGTTACTTCTTTCCCTTTTTTATTTGTGAGTCGATATCTGGAACAGGTACTTACAAAACATTTACGAATATTGGTTTAAATAATTCCAGTATGTAAAATGCAAGTTTGGTGACCTTTCCTCTTAGAACTGAGCCTTGCAACACCGTGACTACTTTCACATTTTTTCTACTTTTTAATAAGACGAAAGTAAGGTAACTCACAAGTCAATAGCCAATTAGCAGGGAGACTTGTATCCGTCAATCGTACTCAACAGCTGTTGTTTAAAATTTAAAACTTGCTTTGCTCTGCATGGAAAAAGAGTAATTTAATGTCAGCTCAGTGAAGACGAACCAGCTGGTGTTTTTTTAAGAGAAACTGATTACATTTGAACAAATCTTGTGTCTGTAAGAGTCAATAAAACTTTAAATGTACATCGTTTAGCTATAAACAATGACTCACCCAAAATTAAGAAAATCTCCAACTCAAGACCAATTACTATGCACTACTACCAAAATATTTGGACATATGGAATATTGAAATCATCATTGACTCCACAATGTTTCATGAGAATGACAAGGCGTTATCACTTAAAAGCTTATGCCCCCGTAGTCATTTGCTTATTCTATAATGGCCAAAAGATAACAAAAATATGTAGCAAGATAGACATTTTTTAACAGATGATATTGATCTGCGCATGCGCAGCAGCTACTCTTAAAAACTGTGGCTTATTTCTCACACACTGACACACATAAAATTACGGTCTCATCTTTTTGTCAATGCTAACACCAAACTTTTTAGTTTATTTTTTCCAGTATACTAAGATGAAATTGACATTAAGTTTAAGTCAAATTCGATGATCATCGATTCTTTATTATAAAAGAAAAACAATAAATTTCGTGAACTGATTGAACTAGCTTGTTTTATATTAGCCTTAGTGTATCAAACAATCAGATCACTATCAATCTCAACATTCGATCTTTAGTTCTCCCAAAGGTATCCATGATTTCATAAGCCTGTGAAAACTGGGTTACATGTTTTATTTTTTTATGAAATATTTACAGAATGTGAAATTATACTAAACCATGCAATGTCCTTATCTTCTTGTTAACTCTTTATATTTATAATTAAGTACTAAAGTACTTTATATTTAAATAGTAGCGATCTAAATATATTTTTTTTTTCATTTTTCTGTCACTTGAACGACTTTATAATCTTTTTCGGGGATTATTTGGTTGAGTTCTTTTATGTATTACTGTATGTAAACATATACGTGTGCTTACTGTGCTTCCCCATTCGTGCATTTTAATTTTAGTTTCCTCATCCATAGGCAACTGCCCTAGAGGCTTACTTTGTGTTTCCTCATCTTTATATAAACGCCCTTCATCAATATCATACTCACAGGACTTGGACAAATGAATCCCCAACAAGTGTTGTTAATTTACCTTGTCTTGTGTAGCTATCAAGACAGCAGCAATGGAGATGCTTGCTGGTGGAGATGCTCTACAACAATGTCGTAAGACAGACATCATGAGTGATGCGGCTTATGTTGTACTAACTACAGACAGTAAATCAAGGACTGGTGAATTTCTTATTGATGAGGATGTTTTACGTGAATTGCTGTATGCCATCATCACTGTTTACAAATCTCCACGGACCACCATATGAAGCATGTACACAATGCGTACCTATTTTGAATTGCTGTATGCGACAATCACTGCTTACAAATGTCCACTGAGCACTATATGAAGCATGTTCACAATGCGCACCTATTTTGAATTGCTGTAGGCCACCATCACTGTCTACAAATCTCCACGGACCACCATATGTAGCAAAAGTTGATTGCTCAATTGGCGTTAATTCAGTAAGAAAACAGCCTGGAAAACTGTTGCCTCGTTTAAATGTTTTCCAGCAGCGGTTTTTTCATATCTTTTATGCCTGATCATCCCATTACCTTATTTTTAAGATTGAAATGATATTACTCAGAGTTATTTTAGATATTTAAATTTTCCGATTATAGGACCATTATAAACTTTTAGAAGATAAAAGGATTACAGTATGAAAGACATGCATTACTAATATTGTCTTGCAATTTAGTGTATGCAGTATGGAGCTATAAAATTTGACAGTAAAACATGAAAATCCAGCATTCACCTTAAATTTTTGAATGAAAAAACTTGATTGCCTTTCATTGACCTTTTATAAGAGAGCATACTTTTGATATTGTAATTACATATAAGTGCACCTCTACATAATAAATAAATTAAACTCTGGACTCACTTTACTGTGAAACTTAGTATTGTATGTATATCTAATAACATTACTTATTGCTCTTATTGGTTAGATAACGCACTCGACTAGTACTGGTAGCCATCATGCCAATTGACAACTTACATCCAACATCAATCTACATTGATTACTGGGGATTAAGACCAAATAATACAAAACACGCATCCTACGAAGGGTTAAGAAGCCACATGCATTGTTCAAACTGCAGAAAGAAGAAAGTCACCTAAAGAACAGCATCCCAATAAATATTTTCAGTAGTTACTGACAGAAACATTTGCTTTAAAGGCTTTCATAATTAGGAGTTCACCTTTTGATGTTCATTGCATTAACAAAATTGTTAGGTAAAACGCCAGATCCCAACCTTTGGCATAAAGAACTAATGGAAAATCGCTCCCCAAATATTCAAAATGATAAATTAAACTGCGAGGGAGGGCTCTTCAGGCAATTTTTTCTGTCACCCATCTTATAAAATTAATTACCTTTCCCTGTCAGCTGGAGATAAGATTCAGGAGCAAATTGTCTAGTTACTTCTTTCCCTTTTTTATTTGTGAGTCGATATCTGGAACAGGTACTTACAAAACATTTACGAATATTGGTTTAAATAATTCCAGTATGTAAAATGCAAGTTTGGTGACCTTTCCTCTTAGAACTGAGCCTTGCAACACCGTGACTACTTTCACATTTTTTCTACTTTTTAATAAGACGAAAGTAAGGTAACTCACAAGTCAATAGCCAATTAGCAGGGAGACTTGTATCCGTCAATCGTACTCAACAGCTGTTGTTTAAAATTTAAAACTTGCTTTGCTCTGCATGGAAAAAGAGTAATTTAATGTCAGCTCAGTGAAGACGAACCAGCTGGTGTTTTTTTAAGAGAAATTGATTACATTTGAACAAATCTTGTGTCTGTAAGAGTCAATAAAACTTTAAATGTACATCGTTTAGCTATAAACAATGACTCACCCAAAATTAAGAAAATCTCCAACTCAAGACCAAATTACTATGCACTACTACCAAAATATTTGGACATATGGAATATTGAAATCATCATTGACTCCACAATGTTTCATGAGAATGACAAGGCGTTATCACTTAAAAGCTTATGCCCCCGTAGTCATTTGCTTATTCTATAATGGCCAAAGATACAAAAATATGTAGCAAGATGACTTTTTAACAGATGATATTGATCTGCGCATGCGCAGCAGCTACTCTTAAAAACTGTGGCTTATTTCTCACACACTGACACACATAAAATTACGGTCTCATCTTTTTGTCAATGCTAACACCAAACTTTTTAGTTTATTTTTTCCAGTATACTAAGATGAAATTGACATTAAGTTTAAGTCAAATTCGATGATCATCGATTCTTTATTATAAAAGAAAAACAATAAATTTCGTGAACTGATTGAACTAGCTTGTTTTATATTAGCCTTAGTGTATCAAACAATCAGATCACTATCAATCTCAACATTCGATCTTTAGTTCTCCCAAAGGTATCCATGATTTCATAAGCCTGTGAAAACTGGGTTACATGTTTTATTTTTTTATGAAATATTTACAGAATGTGAAATTATACTAAACCATGCAATGTCCTTATCTTCTTGTTAACTCTTTATATTTATAATTAAGTACTAAAGTACTTTATATTTAAATAGTAGCGATCTAAATATATTTTTTTTTCATTTTTCTGTCACTTGAACGACTTTATAATCTTTTTCGGGGATTATTTGGTTGAGTTCTTTTATGTATTACTGTATGTAAACATATACGTGTGCTTACTGTGCTTCCCCATTCGTGCATTTTAATTTTAGTTTCCTCATCCATAGGCAACTGCCCTAGAGGCTTACTTTGTGTTTCCTCATCTTTATATAAACGCCCTTCATCAATATCATACTCACAGGACTTGGACAAATGAATCCCCAACAAGTGTTGTTAATTTACCTTGTCTTGTGTAGCTATCAAGACAGCAGCAATGGAGATGCTTGCTGGTGGAGATGCTCTACAACAATGTCGTAAGACAGACATCATAGTGATGCGGCTTATGTTGTACTAACTAGAGACAGTAAATCAAGGACTGGTGAATTTCTTATTGATGAGGATGTTTTACGCGAATTGCTGTATGCCACCATCACTGTTTACAAATCTCCACGGACCACCATATGAAGCATGTACACAATGCGTACCTATTTTGAATTGCTGTATGCGACCATCACTGCTTACAAATGTCCACTGAGCACTATATGAAGCATGTTCACAATGCGTACCTATTTTTAATTGCTGTATGCCACCATCACTGTTTACGAATCTCCACCGAACACCATATGAAGCATGTACACAATGCGTACCTATTTTCAATTGCTGTATGCCGCCATCACTGTTTACAAATCTCCACCGAACACCATATGAAGCATGTACACAATGCGTACCTATTTTGAATTGCTGTATGCGACAATCACTGCTTACAAATGTCCACTGAGCACTATATGAGGCATGTTCACAATGCGCACCTATTTTGAATTGCTGTATGCCACCATCACTGTCTACAAATCTCCACGGACCACCATATGTAGCAAAAGTTGTTTGCTCAATTGGCGTTTATTCAGTAAGAAAACAGCCTGGAAAACTGTTGCCTCGTTTAAATGTTTTCCAGCAGCGGTTTTTTCATATCTTTTACGCCTGATCATCCCATTACCTTATTTTTAAGATTGAAATGATATTACTCAGAGTTATTTTAGATATTTAAATTTTCCGATTATAGGACCATTATAAACTTTTAGAAGATAAAAGGATTACAGTATGAAAGACATGCATTACTAATATTGTCTTGCAATTTAGTGTATGCAGTATGGAGCTATAAAATTTGACAGTAAAACATGAAAATCCAGCATTCACCTTAAATTTTTGAATGAAAAAACTTGATTGCCTTTCATTGACCTTTTATAAGAGAGCATACTTTTGATAGTGTAATTACATATAAGTACACCTCTACATAATAAATAAATTAAACTCTGGAGTCGCTTTACTGTAAAACTTGGTGCTGTATGTATATCTAATAACATTACTTATTGCTCTTATTGGTTAGATAACGCTCTCGACTAGTACTGGCAGCCATCATGCCAATTGACAACTTACATCCAACATCAATCTACATTGATTACTGGGGAATAAGACCAAGTAATACAAAACACGCATCCTACGAAGGGTTGAGAAGCCACATGCATTGTTCAAACTGTAGAAAGAAGAAAGTCACCTAAAGAACAGCATCCCAATAAATATTTTCAGTAGTTACTGACAGAAACATTTGCTTTAAAGGCTTTAATAAATACGAGTTCACCTTTTGATGTTCATTGCATCAACAAAATTTTGAGGTGAGACGCCAGATCCCAACCTTTGGCATAAAGAACTAATGGAAAATCGCTCCCCAAATATTCAAAATGATAAATTAAACTGCGAGGGAGGGCTCTTCAGGTAATCCTTTCTGTCACCCGTCTTATAAAATTAATAATTACCTTTCCCTGTCAGCAGGAGACAAGATTCAGGAGCAAATTGTCTAGTTACTTCTTTCCCTTTTTCATTTGTGGGTCGATATGTGAAACAGGTACTTACAAAATATTTACGAATTTTGGTTTAAATACTTCCAGTATGTAAAATGCAAGTTTGGTGACCTTTCCTCTTAGAACTGAGCCTGGCAACGCCGTAACTACTTTCACATTTTTTCTACTTTTTAATAAGACGACAGTAAGGTAACTCACAAGTCAATAGCCAATTAGCAGGGAGACTTGTATCCGTCAATCGTACTCAACAGCTGTTGTTTAAAATATAAAACTTGCTTTGCTCTGCATGTAAAAAGAGTACTTAAATGTGAGCTCAGCGAAGACGAACCAGCTGGTGTTTTTTTTAACAGAAATTGATTACATTTGAACAAATCTTGTGTCTGTAAGAGTCAATAAAACTTTGAATGTACATCGTTTGTTTTGATCAATGACTATGATCAATTTAAGGCCATGTAGTATGCACTACTACCAAAATATTTGGCCATATGGAATATTGAAATCATCATTGACTCCACAATCTTTCATGAGAATGACAAGGCGTTATCACTTAAAAGCCTATGCCCCCATAGTCATTTGCTTGTTCTATAATGACCAAAAGATAACAAAAATATGTAGCAAGATAGACATTTTTTAACAGCTTAACTTATCTGCTCATGCGCAGCAGCTACTCTTAAAAACTGTGGCTTCTTTCTCACACACTGACACACATAAAATTACTGTCGCATTTTTTTGTCAATGCTAACACCAAACTTTTTAGTTTATTTTTTCCAGTATACTAAGATGAAATTGACATTAAGTTTAAGTCAAATTCGATGATCATCGATTCTTTATTATAAAAGAAAAACAATAAATCTCGTGAACTGATTGATCTAGCTTGTTTTATATTAGCCTCAGTGTACAAAACAATTTTATCACTATCAATTAAATCAATCTCAACATTCTATCTTTAGTTCTCCCAAAGGTATCCATGATTTTCATAA